TAGTTACCCATCCCTGTAATCCAAATCCTTGTCCAAAATCCAAGATCTGCAATATCCAAAGGACATGCTATGCTGCTTCAATTGATGACTGTGCMGACCACAATTGCAGATTAGGTGAGCATGATACTTGAASYRTTTGTCTTTGTCTCAAAGGGATTCCATTTGGTGCATTGGTGATATTATTCCAATGCAGCAGGATGCAGGATACTCAAAATTTTGTTTGATTCCAATTCTAGGTTGTCATCTGGGAGARGCATCATCATTCCTTGTTCCAGCAAGAGAGTATGCAATTGTAAGTAATATGAAGATCTATCTACAATTATGAAAGTCCTAATAAGCCTAGTTCACATGATCATGAGCAGGGCAAAAAAGCAAAGKCAAAGAATGAACTTTTTTTAATTTTCTTGCACCTGCATTTACATCTGCATTTGCATTTTGAAAGTGTGAACTGGTACAATAGTCTCCTTCACGGTTCCCTGCACCATCTTCAAAGGTATCCATGGTTTTACATCGAAGCAAGACAACCATTGGGCGTGCAATGATAGAAACCTGTGTATAATTGTCTGTAGGTGTGAAAGAAGGTTTCTATCATTGCACGCTGAACGGTCATCTTGCTTTGATGTAAAGGCACGGCTACCTTTCAAGATGGTGCGGGAACTGTGAAGAAGACTATTGCACTTGTGCTTTCTCATTTGCTTTAACCGATAAAAGAATTAGTTGCACAGATTACTTCAAGACCCTTTCACTTTTCATTGCTAACGTCATTTTATTCTTTTCACATCAGATGCCAGTTCACAAAACAAGTGATGGCTGCTTTAAATTGTGCTATTGTAAGGAAGATGGTAAGCTGGATCAGTGCACAAGGGTCAACTGTGTTACTGGGAATTCATGTTTTGTAAAAGAGCAAAACAGAACAAGAAGTAAGTGGTTCTAGTGAAACCTAATCCAAAACAGCACTCAACTGATAACTGTAGTAATTCCCAAAATAAAGCATTTGACATGGACATTTTGTTTTTGCAGAACATGGAGAACACTTCATGATTGACTGTAATTACTGTGTGTGCTTTGCTGGTGAATTGATGTGTACAAGAAGAAAATGTGTTGAGACTTTACATGTCACTGAGACAGAAACAGGTTAGTGATGGACATTGTTATAGCGACACTCAATGTGACTCTTTGTTATTCATTTGCCAACCAGAAGATTGGCTGTTAGAACAAAGCGACTTGTGAAAGCCATTTTTATCATGGTTGGCACAAACATAAGAATGAGTTTGTTGATATAAACATTGAGTATCGCTTTGTCTATGAAAAACCATATAACTTGATGAAAAACAAACTGTTTTGTCTGAGCATTCCTCAATAAATCACTAATGTTTATTCTCCATATTTCAACAACACCCTTGTAATTACATGTAGGTATAATCATGTCCTCATTCATTGTGTACTTTGCTTTCTAAGAAGGTCGACCAAAGCGAAACCATACCCCAATGCATACTGGTCTACCATGTGGGTGTCCTTCAGAGTATCGGCCGGTCTGCACCAGCAATGGACACACRCATCACAATCCTTGCATAGCAAAGTATGTATTTTATCCATTTTGTGTTCAAATCAATGTTTTCTKTCATCTACAGTATATTTTGGAATGAAACCTGAGAGTCTTAGTTTCTTGTGAGAAGTGAARAATGAGAGTTATGAGTTACAATGTATATATCTTGAGAGCATTTTAAGAAGCAACTAAATAAGCCAAGTTGCTGTTGTATTCTATGACGTAATGTGAAGGGTATAGACAAATACATGACTTATATCTAAGACATCTAATGTTATTTTTGCAGATGTGCTGGATTCAAAAATTCACAAATGCAGACAGGAAACTGCGAAAGTATTGATCCTTGCAAAAACAACCCTTGTAAAGAAGGACAAAGGTACAGAGTCATTGTTTATCTGTTCCATATGTGATCCAAAGAATTAATATGCCTTGTTGTATTTTACTTGTAGATGTTTGATAAACAGAAAGACGTGCCTGTCGAAAAAGAAACGATGTGAACAATACACATGCAGTACGTTAACAATCAATATTATTGAGTATTCATTTGTGTAGTAATCATAACTGATCCTCCTAAGATGGCATGTGTTTTATCAATGGTCATCATGATATTAATAAATGTAGGCAGGTGTATTATATAAAAACATTTGAAACTCTTAAAGATATTCAAAATGTATGCAAATATGGTCATCAATGCTAATAATATAATACTTTGATCATTGAAGGGGATAAACATTGTAAAAACATCCACATTGTGGAACCTGCATGTGATACTGAAGGCCATCAACAYCCCAACCAGTGTTCWYTACAYCTGAGAGGGAGGAAAATCGCATATAAGGGCTTCTGCAAGGTAAGATGGATTACAGTATTTGAAAAGYTGTAATAAGTTAATTGTACTTCCATGGGCRGATCCAGCTGGTGGGTGCAGGGGGTGCACCCCCTTCCTGAGATCTGTATCCTTYGATATTTTCCTTATTTCATATCTTCATGGTAATGATTTTTGTGGGGTGTACCCCCTCCTGAGAGCCCCGCACCCCTCCATAAGGRAAATCCTGGATCCTCACATGAYTTCAGTCACTATGAAAGAAAACAAAATAAATTCTGAAAAGATTCTGAAAGCCTGGAGAGAACCCAGCTGTTAGTTTATAAAATCAATTATATTATTATCTAATTTGTTTGCCTAACAAAACTATATTAATTAATTGACATCTGTTTTTGTTTACTTTAGCCAAATTGCTGTGATAATCCAGTTTGTGGTGTGAATGGTGAAACATACAGCAGTCCATGTGCGGCACTGTCAGTAAGGGTACTTGTGGACTACAAAGGCCCTTGCAAGGCTATTGGACATGGACCAGGCTCAGGCGGTAGATGTGAAAATGTCAAATGTCCACCAATGGTCCCATCCAACTGTGTTGGTGTATACCCCCCAGGTGCTTGCTGTCCTCAATGTGGTAAGTTGAATAAAATTTATGTATTCAATCCACTAAATTTTGCAATATTGTAAATATTTGATATAACCACCTTTGATAGATAAAGTTTTACATTACCGTTCTTGGCAATTACGTGACTGAATTTACCATTTGTCTAACCCATAGCTGCACAAGTAAGCATCCTTCTCAGCCAAGCTCAACTATATACMAACAGCGAGAGTCTAAGTGGTTATTCCTACAGACAACCCACTCTGGATGATTTATTCACTGCTCTGAGAAGACATGTGACTACGGTAAGCATACATGGGGTTGACCATTTACTTTTTAARAGAGTTGGGATAGATGATTAAAAAAATCTAGCAAGAAGTGCACGAGCTTTTCATTAAAAAGATGACATTAAAATCGAGAAAAGTTTCAGGAAATTCACTTCCAATCTCCATTGTTCTTTTTTAGACTGAATGYGACTTGTTTGGTTATCAAAGTTTAGAAGGAGATATTGTTATTTTAATTAAAGCAGTTACAAATAAGCCGACTACATTACAGGTAAGACCAGTGATTTTATATATTATGGCAATCTACCATGTTATATACTGTATGTATCTATAAAACCTAGCGTATAAGAACCTACAATCCTGCAAAATCACTGATTTTGAGACACTGTCCACAGTTGTATTACAACAACCTCCAGTTTTTGCAATTTTGTTTCTCGATGATTTGCCACCTCACTTCATCGCCAAGATAAGCAAGCAACGTGTGTAAAACCACGAAGACTGAGATTTTTTTCTTGTTAGCTTGTACTGGTTCTTGAAGAAATAGTTCTTTACTTGAATCAGATTCTCGATGTTCTTAGATTTTTTAAGAAAATAGCCACTGAACATACAAAACAATTGATATATTTTTCATGTCATTAAAGATAATAATGCAATATATATATGAAGGATTTCACTGTAACGTCACTACTGTTGTATTTATCTAGATTGAAGCTTGTAGTCTCGAAGCTCAAAGGATTGAGGCTCTCATCAACACAGCAACCCCGGCATTTACTTCCCATTTCATCCTGTCCACGCTAAAGTTTGCCGATACCCAAACGCCGTCCCTGTCAGCCCAAGTACAAGGCTCATCTCGTCATCTCATGTCAGTAGAACATTTAATCATTGCATTGGCTCACACCTACCTAATTATCAAATTGATACTCGGTAGTTAGCATAGTGGAAACCTTTCATTAGGAAAGGGTATTTGATGTACTTTTGAACTAGCTTGAAGGGGAGAATTACTGAGCCCTTAGCGTGAAAATCTTTATATGATGATACAATATGAAAGGTTTTTCGCAGAAATTTTGAGCAATTTATAAAAAGTTTAAAACGTTGCAAAAAAGACTTCTATTCATATTTTTTACACAGAATCTTTCAATTATTTTTGTCCGAAAAAACTTATCCGACTCAGTGATAATAGTAATGATTATAAAAGGATTTTCGCTRTGAGGGCGTAGAGTTAAAGTTACCAGCCAGCCATTTTAGCATCTTTAGTACAAAAAGAAATCAAAGCTATAAGGATATCGYTATAATCTCCGGATCGAGCACTGCCGGCTGTTCACTGCTTGCTCTGTAAGTATCAGTAGGGCCCCTAAAAGCTAGTAAAAAAGTACAAAATCACTGTTTTCACAATTACATAAATAAGCTAAAATACAGATATAAAGAAAAGTATTTTTTATTGTTAAGAAAAACACCTGATTAATATAAAGTATGGTATTTTCAAAAGTACCGTCAAAACACGGATTAAGTATATTATCTAATACAGGATACATATTATTAATATTGTACATTCTATAAAATATATGTTTTGTATAAATAACAAAAATCATAACGAGGAGCTATATTTTGGGCTCGTAACAGTTTTTTATGTGCCTACTAACTACATTCTTACAGAAATGATTCTAATATCACCCTTTGTGGAAAGCACGGACCTGGAGTCTACAGCTTGAAAAGCTAATATCGGTAATAATATATGCTTCGCAATAAGCATTAACCATATCATTCACATTGTCAATATGTCTGGTGCAACAAAAAGTACTCTAGTCCCAGAGACTTCTATTCTATCCTCCAGCCTTTGGCTAAGAAGCGGCAAAGCGCCGATTTCTCGAGACTAAAAGGAAGACTAGAAATCTCTGGTGCCAGGATAAACAATAGGCTATTTTTATTGCTTAAACCTGCGCTTCATTCGGAAGCCGATGATAGATCGGGATCTAACTCATGCTTATTGTTGCTGTTAAGATAAAGACAAAAAATCTGTTTATATGAATATGCATTCAATTGTCACGGATCTCCTTTTTCGATGCAAATATGTATATAGAAAGTGATTTTATAAAAGTCCAATCAACATTCTTAAATTAGAGAGTATAAGACCTCTTGGCAATAACTTGCTAAATATTGTATATAGTTATATAGTTTAGTCATACATGGAGTTGATCATGAACACTTAGTGCTCCAGAATGGAGTATTTCTACTAATAAAAACATTAAACATTGGTGGAGTATCTGTGGTTGTTGGGTAACGTTAGGGGCTCGTTGATTTTCGTACRTTGTTCAATAYCCTGTAGAACTGAATGCWASYKSCCCCMSCCYTTWMCCCYYYTKGSYYCMAA